TGACAGATTCTCTTTGTCGACTTTCTCTTTGCATCCTGACGGCCATTTAAAGACATTCCCAGGTATTTTCAGCACACTGATCGATAAAAGAAGCTTTTATCTAGCATCTAATACGACATACACAACAAGAAACGTATATGTGGTCAAGTTATTAACGAAAGAGAAAGTCGACGAAGAGAATCGATCAATGTTACTTAGGACCTAATGCAATGTTCAGCTTGACATACCGTGGTAGAGGTAACAATAGCTGCAATTTCCAAACCTACGACTGGATGCCTTCCTTCAGATAACAACTTGAGTGCGGTAAAATCGATAGAACTGTTTCAAACATATCGTCGGTACATGAGCGAGTCGGTGATCATCCCTTTTTGCCAGTAGTGGCGGGGGGAATACCCCTCACCATCCCTCTCTAACGGGGGAGTTTGGTAAAGAGAGATGATCAAACCGATTTGTACCTTCCTTAAAAGTTGTCCTTGTTCGCTTTCTACTCTCTATATACAATTTTCACACTGCCGTACTCTAACGGAACTATCAACTCTATACTTTCATCCAGTGGCGTCGCCTTAACCTCAATCTACCTGTGCACCAACTCTCAAAACATAAACAATTATCAAAATAAGGCTTGCAATGGATAGATAGCGAGCTAACTAGAAGATTAAGTGCATTTTTCAACCGATTCGAGTATGAATATGGCATTAAATCTGTTTTTGAAAGTTGGTGCACAGGTAAAAAGTGAGGTTACGCGATGCCACTGCTTTCATCTCCTCATCTATCGTATAAAAAATACCACTTTAGTCTGTTATTTGAAATTAGCATCTTCAACTACACAGCTAAAAAAAAGTAGTGTAAATTTCCGTTACTATGATGCACATAAATGGAGCGTCATAAATCACACAAATTTACATTATATATCGTGTAAATTTATGAGACATGTTATGCAATATTCCATATATTGTATGCAACTTTCCACCTTTGTTTGCAACATTTCTTGCAAGCTGCTAGTTTACGTGAAAAGGAAGTTTACATGCATGAATGTTTGCATGCATGGATGTTTACATCACCAGTAACATTCAGATTTTTTTAGTGTGTATGTAAATCGTTGACTTCACGCAAAAGTAATACAAAACATATAGTTAAAGTAAATTAAAACCAGACTTAATTGACTGCTGGTCGTGAATATTGAGTACGAAATATTAATGGAAATTGATATCAACACTTCTATTAACAAATTCGCAAGTATGAGTTTAGTTTATTTAGTTTAAATGGGTGCTAAAATAAAAGCAGGTCAGAAGAAGAAAAAAATCAACGAAAATGGATTGCCGCAAGTAGGGTTAACTACCCCATTTCCAGCCTATTAAGCATAACCCGCACTTAGTATTTCTTAATCTAGCGCAGTTTAGCATCAAACGAATTGTTATTATTACTGATGGCTTCCAAATTTATTTACCTTTCCGTACGTACCGTAAGATTTGAAAACGAGAAACCAATCGTTGAGATATTGTCAAAAGTCCACCACTGCTTCTCGACGCCAAACTCGGCCTACGGATTTTAAACTCGGCCTAACGCATTGAAACGCAATTGAAGCTCTAATGAATTCACTTCGGCCTATTATAGGATGAAGATAAAAATTGATTCGGTCGGAGCGCTTCTTTTGTTTTTGGGAATAATGTGTTCAAACCTTCATACCAGGCGTTCTCATTGACTTTGTTCGGTAGCTTATTAACTAAAGTTCGTACCAAACGCACAATTGACTTGTTAACTCTGAAATCATGGATTTCTTTGAAGTTTTCTGCTCGATAGGCCCAAAATGGGCGATTAGGCCGAAGTAGTTCTCTACCCTATCTATTTTAATTTAATGTGTGCCAGAATTTCAAAAATGGACCAAGGGTGGTTGAGACGGTCCTGCTCAGTCCCAGTTGTTGGAAAAAATTTCAATCCTTTTTTTTGTGCATCTAGGATAGATTTTTATAAATCACAAATCTCGAAAAAAAAAGTCATATTCTAAGACTCTAAACAAATGTCAAAGCCTCAGAATCATAGAAACGTTCTTATTTTTTTTGAATATATTTCTAGTTGTACAGATCATGCGCTTAAGTTCATGTATTTTGAGATCTGTGATTCAAGTTCAAGATTTCTAAAACAATTTCTTAATTTAATCTCTTCCAATGACCCATTCAACCCGATTGCGTTCGGCTGTGTGACCTTAAACAAATACTCTGGTACTTTGTAAAAGCTGGCGCTTTAAAATCTAAAGAGGACTCGAGTCATTTCAAATTGATTCCAAGTACCCCTTAACTAATGTGATTTTGCAAACATTTTACGCATCCTTTTTTTTTACTCAATGTTAACAACCGGGAAATTTTTGATGTTTAAAAACCGAGAAAAAATCGTGTCAGGGGAAATGGATGTAATGTCGGCTTAAATGCCCCTAATTTGGGCCCATACATAAATTCAGCAATCGACTAAATTTTCAATAGAGACCAAAAATATCCATTAGTACCGTCCCAATGACGCGTTCATCTAGATAAAATTGATAAATAGCAGATTTTTAGCGATGGGCCCAATCTTAGATCCATAGGCCAACATTAGAGCCATTTCCATGTTACAATTCGTGATTCATACGACAACGCCAAACGCCGCTGAACAAAAGCAGTACAGTTATCCTAAACATTTAGAAGTCACTTTCCATCGCCTGAAATAACTAAGATAGGGGAAATGGCTCTAATATTGGCCTATGGATCTAAGATTGGGCCCATCGCTAAAAATCTATACCGTCATTGGGACGGTACTAATGGATATTTTTGGTCGCTATTGAAAATTTAGTCGACTGCTGAATTTACGTATGGGCCCAAATTAGGGGCATTTAGGTCGACATTACATCCATTTCCCCTACTCAATTTGTTTTTCTTTATTATCTTATGCAAACTTTCTCAGTAATGACTAATAGACTACGGTGAGACCCTCCTAATTAGTTTATCTATGCTAATTTATAAAAGCATATATTTAAATATCCATGAAAGCGAGTGCGCACAGCAATATATGCCAGAAGAGTTGCCTGAGGGTCAATAAAAATTAATCACCTCGAAGCGCCCGGACCCGGATAAGAGTGTAAAGATTTATGATGTCTCTCTTTCCCGCCGAAATCGCAATCCGGATTAGAGTTCCGCAAACAAAAACAAAAAGTATGCGTATTTCCTCAAGTATGATTTTCGAGCATTTATTTACGGAGTTTGCTTACGCTTCACCCGCCTTCGAAAAACAGCTGCTGCACTTTTTTTTTGTTTTGAAAATGAAACAACAATTCCGAAACACACAGCTGGTTTTAGCGAGCAACGTCGGCAGTGTGTTATCGAACACATTTCGTTCAGAAGGGTGATAAAATGGACCTTGGTCGGAATTAGGTGCTGCGGGGGTAAACGGCACAGATGGGAAGATAATTTATCTCGTCGGTTTTGGTCGGCTAAGTTAATCTAAAATCGCCAGAGGAAGACGAGACGAGACTGTGGCGTTACACACAATGACTAATTCCGGTGTAAATTGAGCGGTTTTTGGGCAAATTTAATTAGAAACTAGTGCCTTTGAAGAGAAAACATTTAGTCATAATGGAGCTCCATCATTATATGGATGAAGCACTTTTTCCGGTTGTCAAATAAGTTGTAAATTAAATTTCCTTCGTTGTTATCAATTAGCGCTCGAAGAAGCGAGGTGAAACGTTTTTTTTTGTTTGGAAATTCGAATTTGGCCTGGGAAACAATGCTGAGGGTGGGGAAAGTTTGGAAACCTTCGATGACAAATCCGATTTCTAGGTTTAAAATAGAAGTGCGCAGTTTTAAACTCGTCAGCAGACGCGTTACGTAACCATCAACTGGAGTACTGTAATTATACATCTTTCTCGATTTACTGCCCACTTGACAATGGAGGAACAGCAGCCGGTCATGTGTGCTCTTGGGTTAGGGTGTGCCTGAAACTTTGAGATTATGGAACTAGCGAATAAAACGGAATCATGGATCCAACTTTACGGAGCCGCTTTAAAGCATTGGTTGCTTCGTTTTTGGCTCACCCTATTTATGTACCATTTATTGTATCGATACTCGCTTGTCAAGAGCGAGCTCCCCATCCGCGCGCCGTCCATCGTCGCCGGAAATGTCATTATCAGCAAAATGCTATTAACAGCAAAAGCAGACTACCGATGGCAGTCGTCGCCAAAGTTCATCTCCGAAGTCTAGAGACATGTTTTTTTCCCTCCATTTCGTTGCTCTTTTTCAGTTGTAGATCCCATTCAATGGGATACGATATGGCTATAGGTGTGTTTCGAACATGAACCTATAGTTGAGCCGACTGATCGATTGTCATGGTGCAGGTTGTAAACTCACTTCAGCCGATGCGATGATGCATCACTATCAGTAGCAGCAGCAACATTTTTGCTGCACTTGAAACAGATGCACTGATGTCACTGAAAGACCGACATGAGTGTGAGTGCACGTGTTGGGTGATTCAGGTGCAGGTTGCGTTTTTTTTGCGCTATGTGAGAACAACAGCAGATGACACGGTGGAGGATAAAGGGCTGCTTTTCAGCATCCCTTGCGCATGGGTTTGGTTGCATGCTTTTGCGTGAAAGTTTTTTTTTGTGCAGTTGACAAGGACTGCAGATGTGAACATTACATCGTGGAAACTTGTTCTGTCGGCTGTAAACTTTTCATATAGTGGAACCTATAACCCATAAAATGGGACCATTTCAACAAAAACTAAGTGGTACAATTGTGGTTATTAATTTTTTTAAAAGTATTTTCGGTGGAACAAAAACACATTTGACGCATTTGACACAACATGATCAGAACGTTTAAATGACAAAACAAAACAAAATCCCATAAGCTTACATGTATCATCAACCGTCCATGTTCCTGACAAAAATGAGATTCAACACTATTTTGTTGGTTCTATGGCGTATAGCACTCTAATAATCATGCTCTAATTTTATTTTCCATTCTCTCCTTTTCCAGGTAAGTGGCCAGCGCACACTTTTGCATGTATCATAGGACCAGAGCATCCTCCGTTCACTACCCGATCGCAAAGAAGACCAAGGTAAAGTCAGATTTTGTCATTTTGCTGCTTTGTTGTTGTTGTTGTTGCTGCTGCTCGTGTGCCACTCTCCAACTGTCTGTTTTCTTCTCTTCTGTTCTTTTTTTTAGTTGTTGTATTGGTTTGTTCTTCTTACTTTCTGGTTTCGAACTTCCTTTCTTTGGTCGTAGCTTCTTAGGTAGATTTTACAAGTTTAAAGATCTCATTTCCGTTCTCAGTTTTTTTGCACTTTTTTTTCTCTCTCCCGCACGTTATCGTTTCCAGCTCAGTAGTTTGCTCGGTTTCCTTTGGGTTTCTGGGTGCTATCTCTTGGTCTTGATATATTTAAGAGGTAAAGAAAAAATCAGGTCGTAAAGAATCGTAATCGACATTTCCGTCGTAATAAATGTCGGTGTTGTTGTTGCTGCTGCGGTTGCTGGAGAAGGGATCACAACAACGCAGTCTACATTCACTGTTTTCAAAAGGAAATGATGTCCTGCTGTACGTCGTTGCCGATGGCACCTGCGTAATCTGGTCAAGAGGCGTAGCCAGGTTTCAAACAGAGCGGCGGCTTTTTGTTTCGTTTTTGGTTATGGTTCAATCGGGCGAATGGGATAAGCTTGGAAAAGCCATCTGGTCAAATGCATAGATGATAATTTAATTCAAATTCAGAGTGGCCATCGAACCGGGAGAATCGGGATTTAATCAGGAATCGAAAACAACCCGCAATAACCGAGAATGTTTTTGACTCCTTACAATAGTCTGTTGTACTGTCAATAAACATTCTAAGTTCGATATCTTGAATATTTCTTCAAGCACTTATTTCTCTTCTTCCTTTCGATAGTACAGGATGCCAACAATTAAGCCTGAGATAAAAGAAATAGTAATGTCCCAGAGTCTGGTATTTTGAATATTTTTGATAAGTCTAGAACCTTGAAAACTTGTCAAGTCGTGTCACAAATTTAAGACAAATTTTCTATTAGGAAATGTACTCTCTTAAAATTTCCTTGGATTTCACGTCAGAATTCTTCTCAAAATGCCTCTGGATAGCTTGGAATTATCATGGAATCTTGGGAATCTCTTTAGCATTTGTCTGAAAATTTCTTCAGATTCTACTCAAAGTTTTTATTTTAATATAAGCTCAAAATGTTTTGCCAAACCCTCCAGGAAGCTCCTTGAAATCCCCTCAAAATTCATATAAATTCTTGCCATGATTTGTTTTTAATCTTAAATCTTTAAAATAAGCAAAGTAAAAATCTCGCAAAGTTCAAGAATGTGATAAACAAATAATCTTAAATATTTTGTAAAGCAATCTTCGAACAATATTTCTGTCCGAATTCAAATATTTGTAGATCTCATTGTTTTTAAAAGAATTTGTAAGCTCAATCTATCAACTTGGCCTTGCGCTCTTCCAATAATTTGTATGTAATTTAGATATATTTCAAAATTCTGAGACTTGAAGGAATATTTCAAATTTTGGGCTTCTTAAAATTGTCTAAATTGGAAAATTGAGCATAATGGGGAAATGGCTCTAATGTTGGCCTATGGATCTAAGATTGGGCCCATCGCTAAAAATCTGCTATTTATCAATTTTATCTAGATGAACGCATTGGGACTGGCTCATTTTCCGTAGCTTTGCGGAGCCGATATTCATCGTTTGGGTTACAAAATTACTTAAAACTAACGTTAGTAAAGCGGGGGCCGATTACTCGTGGCTATCTCGAGGTTAGGGGTAACAAATTGTAACAAACGGATGGCAGGGTAGGGATTGAGAACACAAGGTTTTTTCGAGCAATGTGATCTTGATCTAGAACTAAGCGACATACTGGAGAAAAAGACGAACATGACGGTACACCGATGGGGACCTAACAACTTGAGAGAACACAAGATGACACTAACTACTAAATCCTCAGATCGATCCGTTTTAAAAACACATAAATTAAATTAAAATAATCGAAATCTCAGTTCGCCAAGATGTCTCTAACAGGCCACAAAGGTTGTTTTCCTCGGGCCCTGAGGGATGCGGATAACTCGGATCTAGCAACACAATGTAGGGTGCATGACCAAAGCACGTGGTCGATCTCGTGATAACCACTACCACAAGCGCACAAATTGCTGCCAGTGAGCCCAATTCGAAAGAAATGCGAGTCTAACGAGCAGTGATTAGACATGAGCCTCGACATGACACGTATAAAATCACAGCTCATGTCCAATCCTTATCATATACCTTGACTTTAACTACATAAAAAATGAGCAGCTCTATGACTGATACACATTATTGATCCAACTGAAAATTGTCAAAAGGTTTATCCCTCTCTTGGAGTTGACTCCTTCTTTCAAACATGAAGCCTTTTTTGACAGATAAATGCTTTTTAATAACTCAACTTAAAATGCTCGAAAGTTTTTTTTCATCTCTAGGAGTTGACTACTTTTTTAAACCGTAGTGGAGTGTGGACCCACTTAATCCCCTGTTTTGAATTTGAATATATATTTGCGCAAAAATTGAAATTGATGGATTGAACCCACGGTCTTCTGTTCAGTAAGCAAAATCGGTCGCAACTAGGCCACCGAGCTCCTCCAAAACAATTACGATCAACTTTCTGTTCAATTTGTTGTCATCCCGGCGGTGCCTCACTGACAACGGCAACAACTGCTCTTGAGAAGGATTTTATTTGGATTTCCAATCTACACGTCTTTCCAAAAACTCAAATATTACTTCTTTACATTCCCGGCCCTTCAAATCGAATTTCTTTACGCTTTACATCATATTATGAAAAAATTCCGATTTAGAGTATAACTCTAAAATGTGAAGGCGCTTGGGATTGAACCCATGATTTTCTGGTCAGTTAGCAAAATCGGTCACCACAAGGCCACCGAGCTCCTTATTTTACAAAACAATTACGTCCAAGTTCCTGTTCAACTTGCTGTTACTACGATAACAGCTACTCTTGAAAATGATTTGTTAAATATTTCCGATCAATACGTCTTTCCTAAGACACGAATTTTATTTATTTTACGTAATCGTTCCTCTAACCGAATTTCAATACGCTTTATCTCATATTAAGAATAAATCCGATTCACACTAGAGCTCTATTATGTGAAGGAGCTTGGTCGCCACTAGGCAACCGAGGTCCTTAAATCAGCGCTGACCTCACAGACGACGACAACAAGTGCTGTTGAGAAGGATTTAATATGGATTTCCGATCAACATGCTCTAAACATAAACTGGCAACAATCAAGCAGCCAAATTCCTCAATTAATTTTTTGAGACGTTGTTTGGTAAAGATTGATTTAAATTTAAGCAAATACCTGGAAAGGATCTCATCCCAATGATGTAGTTAGCTGGTCTCCTAATGTTTCATAAGCTTAAAATGAATCGCTCTTTCAAGTTTACATGCCAAAAAAAGAGTTAACTTTATCGCGTCGTTATCTCTATTTAAAAAAAACACTGAACAAAGATTTCGAAAAATTACGCGCTAAAACTTCCACCCTTGATTTAAATCAATATATCCAATGGCAGTTTTGTAACATCTGTGTCACAAATATTGTGTTGTTGCTGCACAATAATCTGATATGTATAACGATACTTCGATATAATGTTCACTATTCCTGGCCAGAACCTTAATCACTAATCCCAATCACACACTCCGATCAGCCAAAGGAAAATCACAAAAACTCACAAAATCAAGAAATCAAGAACACTGATAACAAATGCATCGTTCTTCAACTGGAACAAACTCACCAAATTCAACGATAATCGTTGCCCGAGCAAAGCTGGAGATCAAATTGAAATCAAAATTTGCTGTTATGATGTAACTTATTTTGAATACTCCCGTTGATCTCATTTCGGTTGACTTAACGGTTAACACAGCAAAAATGAGAGCAAAATTTTACACTGTTGAATCAAACGGAAAACTAATCTTGCTTTCAATGAAATCAATTTGGTTACTGATTTTGCATTCATAATGTTTAACTGAATACGGGCGTGGCGTAAATGGTTAGTATCCATGCTTCTCACGTTGAAAGAGTTGAGCTCAAATCTCACCCCGGGCAAGTCATGAATGACCTAAAATGTGTTAAACAAAACAAATAAACAATAATCATTAGTTCAACGACAGATGAACTTAAATTAAATTTTAAACAAGACGTTAACAGCAAAACTTCAAGTTAAGTTGCTTTAATTTAAAAAAGTTTTGACTGCATAATTAAAGCACAATATGATATAAGATTTATGTCGCGACAATTGAAATCAAAATGAGTTTTCATTATGATAGAAACTGCAAACTTTAATATCGATTAGCTTTCATTTTGTTAACCGACTTTGCTCGGGTGTCCAATGGTGCGGATTCATACATTATGAATTTAAATTGCACTTGATTCAGAAATGGCAGAAAACGACCCAGAACTCGTTCAACATATGCAAAATGTATACATTCTGCATCTGGCAGGCGGGCTCGAATCATTCTCCCGAAAGACCGACATGCATGACCGTCATTCCGCGCACATCTTCCTTCAGAAATTCCAACCACAAAATAACGGAAAAAGCTTTCGCTAGTTGGGCTCAGCAGTCAAAGCTGAAAATTGGTTGAGGGATACACCGATTGGTTATTATCATCAAAATGGTTTAACAACTATCCAAATCGTTCATCCACGAGCCCCTAGATAAGGTATAAGTTCTGCCAGAATTGATGGTTGACTTCGATTTAGGCAGGCTACAGCCTAACTAAAGGGAGCCTAACTAAAACTTAGCCCACTTAAAGATAGCCCAACGAGCAAAATTCTACTGTAATTCTCCTATGCATTTCTCTTCAATTAACACTTCAATTTCATTTACATTCTCCTAAACATTCCATGTGTATTCTACTCAGAATTTTTTTTAAGGTTTCTTAAACAATCTTCCAAGCTGGACAGCCTTGAAAATTTTCCACGACCAAAATAATTATATTTTTAAACCTGTAAATTTTCCAAAATTCCACAGTTTGAGTATTTTTCTCAATCCCATATTTAAAAAAGTCATTTTTTTT